TTCATTGTAGAAAAATTAGAAAACACAGAAAAGCAAAAAGAAAAATAATCACCCATAATCCCACTACCCATAAATAACTACTATTAACATTTAATGTATGTCCTTCTAGCTTTCTTACGCATATATACACATACATAGATAGATTTATATATAATTTTCTTTTTTACAAATATTGTATCATACTACCCATACTGTTTTATAACATGTGTTTTATATTTTAATATATATTGTGAACATTGCTCTTTATTCCCTGAAAAATTATACAGACACTACATGCTCATTGTGGAAAATTCAGAAATTACAGATATGCAAAAAGAAAATACAGTTGCTCCAAATCTCACCTCTCAGAGATAAAAGCTGTTAACGTTTTAGCAAATACCTTTCAGACTCTTTAATGCACGCATGTAAATGTATATTTTTAAAGTGGATTTCTTCTGTAACTTTCTTTTTTCACTGGACAATATAGTGTGTTCGTTTCCACACACATACGTACGGTGCTTATGCTTAATTGCCGCCCGGTATCCCACTGAAGGACCCACCATACGCAGCCAGCCCCATACTGTACACGTACATTTTTCCAGTCCTCCAAATATCGCTGCTATAAGCGTCCTTTCTTGCATATATTTTTTGAATAATGAGTGACTGTAACTTAGAGCATTTTTTCTGACCTTTTCAAGGAGAATCTCTCTAAAATGAAATTATCTGGCATACACGTAAAATATATTGCAAAATATTTTCCAGAAAGGTCTACTCAATTTACACTCTTATTGACTCTGTAAGAGAATATTCATTTCCACACTTCCTTCTGACCCTGGGCACTTTAATTCTTTATACTATTTGCCTTTCTGATACACAAAAAGGGATATATTATAATAATTTGCAGTTTTGATGACTAGTATATTCAAATAGTTTCATTCAAATATTTATCATTAGTGCATTATTTAAATTTATGGTATATTGCCCGTTAGTGTCCTTGGCTCAATTTTCTACTGGAAAGTTTGATATTTTTTGGGGGGGAGGTGTCATAAACTATCATTTATTTATGAATTGATTAGTCATTCATTCAATAAATATGTTTTTAGTATTTGCTTTGTGTCTAGCACTGTTAGGTGTTGAAGATATAGCAGTAAGAAAAATAGACATGGTTGCTGCCTTCCAGTTCAGTGGATGTAGACAATTAAATAAGCAATAAGGGAGAACCTGCAGCAAGAAAAGGAAAGGGTGACATGGGAACGTTTGGCCGCGCAGGGAGTTGGAGACCATGGAAACTTCTCAAGTGGAATTTAAGCTCTTGATGCATGTTACAGGTCTACGCTTTTTGTTGCTTATATTTCAACTTTTGTTTTCTCTTAATCTGGTTTATTTTTTATTGTATAGGAGTTTTGGATTTTTAATTGGTCAAATCCATCTTTTCCCTTGTGGCTTCTCCCTTTGGTGTCCTGCTTAGGAAGGCTTTTTTCCCCACAGAAAATTACATAACTATTCATCAGTATTGCCTGCTAGTCCTTTTGAATGTTTATTTATGTGCTTTAGCATTTCAATCTTTACTGCACCTAGACTATTTTGATGAAATTTATGAGGCATAGACTATTATCTCCCCCTCCAATGGCTAGCCAGTTATCCCAATATCATTTACTTAACAATCATGGATTTGAAATGTCATCTTTAAAATGTACTCCATTCTTCTATGTTCTGGGTTTATTTCTGGACTTTATATTTAATGCTAATGATTTATTTTGAGCCAATAATACCACTGCTGCTTTTTTTCATCCCACCTATAGTTACTTTAAAATTGAGCATTTTGCATTCGGTGACATTCTAGAATACAAAGAAATGCTAGACATTGCTTAGGTATGTGTGTGGGGTGGGAAGTTCATTGGGATGATACCCCTAATCCTTTCAACTTTGAGACTTCCAGTCTGAAATTCATACGGGATCATTGTTACTCTGGCCCATTTGTTTGCTGTCTAAAATCAATTAGATGCTTTTATACTTGGTATTTGCTTCCCCCCCTCACTGTAAAGCTCAGCTTTCAGTAGGTGGCAGCATTGCCAAACAGTAAGTATCCCAATGTTACAGGAGCACCAAGGAGCAAAATGATCTGGCAGGCTTTTAGAATTTCCCCAGCAGCTTTCATTAGAGGAGGCCCCAGGGCCGTGCTACTTCTGAAGCCTTCTTTGTACTCTAGAAAAATGGCATGAGCAAAACATTAGTGGACCGTATTTTAAAGTGCCACCTTGGCCTTACGGACACTGTGCCTTCAGGCCCCACCACTGACTCATATAAAGCCTGGAAATGTGGTTTTAAATAATGCCACTGTGGTGGGATTCAGGTGATTTTTATTTCTTTATACTTGGTGGTATTTTTTTCAGATTTCCTACAAAGGACATATATTTGCTTCTGTAATCTTAAAAAAAAAAAAGGTAACATGGGGTATTAAAAATAGGGTGGTAAAATGGATGATTGTGTGCCAGAAAATGTTCACACCCCTTTTTTGTCACGCATGTGAGTACATGCAGCAAAATGGATTCACTGTTCTCCCCGTATCCCTAGAGATCAGTTCAGTGTTATTGCTCATCTGGAAGCAGATTACCAGCAGGAAGCTGAGACAGTAGAACTACACCTCATGGAACTACACCTGAGAAAGTCCTTTGGCAGGGAGAGGAGAGGGGGGTCAGCTGCTAAAGAGATGCGTTGGCATGTCTAATGCGAGACGGTGAATCACCTGTTGAGACTATGAGCCAGTGTAGGTTATCAGGACTTTGAGGACCAAATTTGATTTTAGGCCCTGCCACTGAAAAAAGATCTACAAATCTTGGAGTGTGTCTAAGGGAACTACAAAACTGATCAAAGGCTGGGAAACAGGCACTATGAATATAGAAGATAGAGTGGCTGAATTTATTTACCTTAGGTATGGAAAGCCTAGCTAGGGAATTAGACAAATTCCCATCTCCATGAAATGCTACTATGGCCCTCCCAGACATGGAGGTGAGACCTGAATTTATTAACAGTCTTCAGTTGTACAAAGCACAATTGCACGGAAGGTAAGTGTTACTTTTACGCTGAGACTAAGAGACTAAGGCTAGAGTGAGCACAAATTAACCGAGCAGAAGTGGCTTAGGCCAGGCATTTAGAAGAACGTGCTGAACATCAAGGTTGGACTTATCAGTTAATAACTTTGCATGGATTAGTAGGAACTAGAATGAAGCTAGGGGATTAACACAGTAGAAAGGTGGGACAGGATAGAGACGGAGTGGGAACGTGCCAAATTGGGCTACTTCATAATCTCTAAAACAACAGACCTGAAGTTCATTAACCCCAGGGGTAAGAAATGAATGGCATTCAGGAAAGGTTATTAAGCTTTATTCAAACCTGGTTTATGAAAATCAGGGTTTGCAGATCAGGTAAATCTGGGAATGGTCACCTGCTCTGAAGGGAAATACTCACCCCAGGAGTCTTTTAAATAGCGCGTTCCCACACTGTTGTGCGGTACTGGATTTAGAAAACTGTGACTTTCTCATGTAACTTTCAAGGGTGCTTCTTTACATGAGGCCAGGCATCCCTATCACCAGGCATCCACAACCAGGTCATTGGAGCACAACTTTGGTCTCTAAGAATAAGGCAGTGGCCAGCTGGTATGATCTAGCCGAGACCGGCACAGCCTTTGAGATCTCTCCCAACCCTTTAATCCCTTCACTTTCAATTAAAAAAAGCTAGGAGACAGTTCCAAAGATAGTTTCCACAACATTAGATATTATGTTGAACTATAGGAAACTGCCATTTCTTAGGTCGAAACAGTCAAAAAGCAGCAATTGCATATAATTCAACCTAATACAATAATTATTTTAGTAATTTGTCTGTACCTCTCTTTGTCTTCACTAAAGCTAAAGGCTTTAATATGCTTAGTTCTCAGGTCAAAATAGTGCTGGACATGTAAATTCCTGTGCACATGAAAAGGAAGAAATTATAGGGTTGGGATTCGAGATGGGCTTTGAATAAACCACTTAGAGGCATCTACTCATCCTTTGATTATACTGGACACTGGTGCCTCTTGTCTGACTTCAGGATTTTTCAGACTATGGAAAGAAGGAAGGGAGTCCAAAGGCCTCATCTCTTAGCCCACGGGGAATCCTGTCTGGGAAACGGGCCAAGGGAAGAAGGGGGGAAGGGAGCAGAATGTGTACCATGTTACACGTTTAGTGGAGGAGGAGCGCGCCAAGGAAGCTGTGAGCAGAGAGCCAGAGCGCGGCTTCCTCCTTTCTAAAGTATAGTATTGCTTCGTGTGTCCTGCTTTCAAGAATCTGCATAAGACACCAAGTACACATTGGGAAAGTCATATCTGCATAGTCATCTAACATGAGACAAGCTTAGCTGAACTAAGAAGACTTTATTAACAATGTAAAATGTTAAATATTTTTACGATCTGAGCTAATTCCAGCATGCCCTAAAAGAGTTAACACTATGCTGATGTGCAGACTTCATGCTTCAGATTTCAGTTAGAACAAAATGTGATAATATTCAAATTTTACATTTGAGGGTAATTGTATATGTCACTACACCATTTCCTAACTGGATTACTTCACTCTCCAAGAAGCTGAAAAAGACATCATTGGATCGAAAGAAATTAGTTGCCATATGCATTGTAAGAAGGTATTAGGATTACTGTGTATTTACAAAATTTAAATACTTTTTAATATGGTTTTTGTTGCATTATAAATTAAGATATTCTTCTGTTGAAGCTCTTAGATTCTGACAGAATGGAAGACTAAATGTAAATGAAAGCAGAGAAAGCAATAGGCGAAGTGGAGTGTTTGCTTATATTTCTAATGATATTGATTNTGTAAATGAAAGCAGAGAAAGCAATAGGCGAAGTGGAGTGTTTGCTTATAATATTTCTAATGATATTGATCGATTGGATTTCAACAGTTTTTCAGTTTTAAATAGATTTCTATGTTTAAAGACTTCTTCCATATATGATAAATTGTTAACATGAGATCAGCAAGAGCTACAGATTTACTATTATACATGAAGTAATTTTTCTTTGTATAATACATTTTAAAAAACCTTTAAATAATTAAAAAATCATAATTCTTGCGTCTGTCATGGTATGGTTTGGAGCAGACATGCACAATGTTAACTTTAAAAATCCTTTTAAAAACAGCCTACTTTTTGAATCTGTTTGTTTTTTTTTTTTTCCCTTGACAGCAGCTACTTTCAAATGTAAAATCATTTAAAAGGGCAGAGAGAGGCAGGTAAAAGTAATAAGGAAGCATAGAAAACATAGTCAAAAACCAATAACTGGTTCAGCTGTCTGGAGGTCCTCTGCTTCTGTGATCGTTTTCAGGTCTCTCCGGGGTGGGTTTCCAGGAGGAATTGTCTAGCTTGAGACGAGACAACAGAGCCCAAAGAACCTTCTCTTCCGTCTTCTAACCAGGGGGTAGGAAGTTAGGTTTAGAAGGCTGCTGTCATCTGTGATGGGACAAAGTACATGTAAGTGAGGTACGGACAAAAACTTCTTAGTATTAATTGGTTTTAAAAATGCCCTGTCCTTTGAATCAAGGTTTCTTAACCTTATCACCACTGACATTTTAGACCAGATAATTCTTGTTGTTGGGGGCGGTCCCGGTCACTGTAGCATGTTTAGCAGCATCCTTGGCCTCTACTCACTAGATGCGAGTAGCAACTTCCCCACCAGTTGTGACAAAGAAAAATGTCCCTAGATATGGCTAAATATTTCCTGGGAGAGGGGCAAACTGCCCACAGTTGAGAACCACTGCTTAGAATTGAATGTAACCTGCTTAGAGGCCAACTTTCAGTTGGGAGAAGTATCAATTCTCAGGAAGAGCCCACGCGTTGGGTAAGGTGGGCTCCTTTTCTGAAGTCACCTCTAGCGACTGTGACTTACTGTTATTTACTAGCTCTGTGACTTTGAACATGCTACTTAAACTCACTAAGCTTCAGTTTCTCCATCTGTCAGTAGGGGTTCATGTTACTTAGATGAAGATTAAGTGAAATACTCGGTGAAAAACATTTAGCTTGGGCAGATACCTTGGTGCCTGGCAGAGAACAGAGCTCAGTACTATTCCCCTCTGTGCGGGACCATTGCCTTGCCCCACTCACCACTTCATACCTCAGAACGAGGTTTCAAGGATTCCCTGCTCAGTCTTTCCCTTGCACTTCCTATAGATATTTGTGAGAAGGGCAAGAGACCATTGCCAGCTGTTGAATTCATGAAGTTGGGTTTGAATTTTTAGCATGATGACAAGTAGAGGAAGAAATAAGCCCGTAAACCAAATCTTGTTTAAGGGGCTGGGTTTTTAGGAAATACTGCAGCCCAAAGAGAGGGTGGGTGGAGATATCCTGCTGAGCAGAACTGGCCAGTGTGGGTCCCAGAGGTTCGAGAAGGACCACAAAGAAGTAAGTTTTCTATCGCCAACTGGGACGGTGCTAGAACATGGTCAGATGGGAGCCAGGCGCAACCCCATGGCTGGTTGGTTTTGGCAACTGTTGTGGACCTAATATCTGCCAGGACTGGTGGCACTGCCCTCTCAGAGAAGAGCTCAGGGGCTCCCGCCTTTCTCCATCCTAACCTGGCCCAGACAGACCTTGGGGAAGAGCCCAGCATCGGAAGGACTGTGCCCCACCTCAGGAAAACTGGTTTGTAGGTGAGGGCTGGTTTTTGTTGATTCCTGAGGCTAGGCACTCAGGAAACTGTCCAGAACAAAAGAGTCCTGGCTTCCCGGTGCTTTTACATAAACTGTGTCATCCAAATGCCCAGGCTTTTCCTCCCTTCCCTCAAAGGTTCTCATGTGTCATGCTTAAAAGTAAATTAGTGTCACCCACCAAGTTGACAGTGCTCCTCAGAATGTTGTCTACTCTATTATACATTTAGCTGAATAGCAAGCTGGAGCCAGGGAAGAAAACAGGCGCCCCAGCTGGGCACAGCTCATGAATCAAACACAGTCCACTGTCCCAGTCTCCACAGAGTAAATTACTCTCTTAAAACTCATATTCTGCTAAAATGGAAACAAAATGACTGTCTTTGTCCTTTCCATGGTGAAAAATAATCCACTATAATCTAGATGTTAACATTTTGAAAGCTAAAAATAGGACACCTCTCTTTTATAATTAAACTTGCCCCAGGGAGGTAGAAGAAAGTAAAGGGAGGGGAGATAAAGGGCGAGAGGAGACATGACTTGGGGTGGTGAAAACACAATGCAATATACAGATGATGTATTACAGAACTATACACCTAAAGCCTATATAATTTTAGCTCTGGCCAGTGTGGCTTAGTTGGTTGGAGTGTCATCCTGTACTCCAAAAGGTTATGGGTTTGATTTCTGGTAGGGCACGTACCCAGGTTACGGGTTCAATCCCTGCTCAGGGTACATGTGGGAGGCAACCAATCAATGTTTCTCTCTCTCTCTTTCTCTCTCTCTCCTCCCCTCCCCCTCTGCCTCTCTCCCTCTCTCCCTTTCTCCCTTCCTCTCTCTAAAATCAATTAAAAATAGTTTAAAACATATAATTTTTTTTTAACCAATGTTACCCCAATAAATTCAATAAAAAAGTAAAAAAATAAATAAACTTGCCCTAAATAGTTAAGACATTGAAAGCAATGTCAGAGACTGTACTTGAGCCAGATTTCTCAGGATAATATCTCAGAAATGAATCATGATATATTTGGAACAGAAAGATAAGTCACTTTCTCACCATTTTTCGGACTCTTACATCTTTAACCATCAAATGAACAAATGAGCAATGAACTTAACCTACTTGGATATGGCAAAGATATAGCAGACTCTGAAGGGTAAAGAATTTTACCTTTCAGTATCTGCTTGGATACTGACTATACTTCCTGAAGCTCAAGTTCATCTGGAATTCAATGCTTGCTTCCTTGGAACAGAATCACCAAAGCTGCAGATATTTTTAGGAAAAGAAATCTATGTATATACATTTCTTTAAGACTTGGAAGATCTATTTCCTGAATTCCCATATATCCTTCCCTTTCTCCAAGCTTTTGAGAAATTTGGGGAGTGACCTAACTGGTATTTATATTATAAAATGCAATTCTGATGTGTATGGTTCTCACTACATTAGAAAATGTCTACCACAATATTGTATTTACAAAGGAAGTGTGCATGTGGATGCTGTGGTTTGTGGGTGCTGTGGTGGTATATTTGCTCCCATTCTCTCTTTTTTATTACACACAGATATTAAGAGATTTGTACTGAGACTGACAGTTGTCAGAGGGGAGAGGGATGGGGGAGGTTGGGCGAAAAAGGTGAAGGTATTAAAGCAGTACAGATTGGTAGTTACAGAATAATTAGAGAGATATAGTTTACAGCATAGGGAATAGAGTCACTAATATCGTGATAAATATGCATGGGGCCAGGTAGGTATTTGACTCTGTAAAGTACATGATTGTCTAATCACTATGCTGTACATCTGAAACTAACACAGAATAATATTGAATGTAAACTGTAATTGAAAATAAAAGGACTGACCCTTGTATCTGTGTATTCATTACAGTGAATGAGGAACCTTTTATGCTACTGAAATTCTCTTCACTCAGTCTTCTTTTCATATACATATATTTAACCTGTGAGTGCTATGCACGCACACACATAGCATATATAGTACTCACAAGTGAACAGGAAGTGTCAGATTGATGAGAAAATGTTAGGAGGTTAAGTGAAGAACAGGCCGCCTATTAAGGATGACTGCTGGTTCGGGGCATCTTTGTTAAGCACTGGTGACACTTTAGCCTTGCCCAGCGCTTGTCTGATTATCACCTAAGGCTGAGGTGATACAAAAGCTCCAAAGTCCTTGGCAGACATTCAGAGCAGCTTTCTATACCAGAGGAAGCTGACACCTGCAGTAAATGCTGAAATTCATAGGGCAGTAAGTATGCCTGGAATGGTTTGAAGTGAATTAAAGTCCAAGAAAAGATGTCTTTCCACATTGATTAAAATCCTGTCTCTGAGGTAATGGGCTACCGAAAGAATGTGAGCAAAATGGACCATTTCCCCACTCATTCTAAACATTCTGGGCTGCTCCACCTGGCCTTGCTGGGACATCTTTGATTTTTATTGCAAAGGTTGGAGACTTTTGTAGCACCTTTTCTCCAAAATACTTACTCTCAGAGAACTGTAACCTAGAACAGTTGTCAATGAGAAAATAAAAAGTGAGAAAGGAACTGGAAGGAAGGAAAGCATAGGAGAAAGTGGGGGGAAAAAAGAGACTAGGAAATTCAGTCATTAGTTATTTCAAATCTCAGTCATTCAATGTTTAATTCTGGGATGCGACTTGAGCCAAGGACACTGGAGTCCTCTAAGGCTCAATGATACCATGTCTCTATTGCTCAGATTTCCTTTGCTAATAAAAGATTTCTTACATAAGGGATATGACAAGAAATGGGAAGACAAAAAACAGAGAGGTTTTCAGCCCTGGCCAGGTGGCTCATTTGGCTGGAGCATCATCCCACACACCAAAGGGCTGCGGGTTCAGTTACCGGGCAGGGCACATACCTAGGTTGTGGGTTTGAACCCCGGTTGGGGTGCGTACAGGAGGCAACAGACCCATGTTTCTCTCTAACATGGATGTTTCTCTCTCTCTTTCTCCCTTCCTCTCTCTCCAAAATCAATAAATATATCCTTGGGTGAGAATAAAGAAAAAAATGAGAAGATTTCAAATAATAACCTTAGTTTAAACCTGTGTTCTCAGATAAAGTCAAAAGAAGAACTTATAATGGCAAATTTCTATTCCAGAAAAAAAAAAGATACCTTCAGCTAACCCAGTGGTTCTCAAACATTAACTTCCTCGGCATCGTCTGGGGGCTGGTTAAAGCAGAGACTGCCAGCCCCACCTCCAGAGTTTCTGCATCAGTAGGAGTGTGGTGGGGCCAGAGGGTTTGCATTTCTGACAAGTTCCCAGGCCTGCTGATGCTGCTGGTCCTGAGACCACACTTTGAGAACCACTGAATTAGCCAAAGGCCTGCTAAGTGCAAGGCTCTGTGTCAGGTATAGAGGGTCCCAATAGAAAGATGGTCCTTGGCCTCAGGGATCTTTCCTTGAGTAACTATGAGGCTTCAGCAGCAATGCTGCAAGAGAGATACAAACACTGTGTTGGGAGAATTCCGATGGGGAGGGTTGCTCCCACGTGGAGAGGGAAGAAGACGCTCGTGAACCCACTGCAATCTCAGTGTTCATGATGGGCCACAGTGATGAGGAGGACTTGGGCATTTGGTGAAGTGGGGGGTGGGCATCCTAGATGGAGAGAGCAATGTGAACAATGGTAGCCTGAATCTGCCTCCAAATAAACCAGCCTGGCTGGAATGAAGGGCATACGAAGGAGGGAATAGTACAAAACAGAACTACTGAAATTCCCTAAATATGGCCAACCCCCCCCC